CAGTCTCTCCCTCTCTCCTTCTTTCTCTCTCTCTCTCTCTCTCACACACACACACACACACACACACACGCACGCACACGCACATATCCTGCCACAACCTTCCCTTTCCCTCTGCCCTGATTTTGCCTCTGTTGCTTCTGATTACATGTGAGTGTTGAGTACAGCCTCTGCCTCTGTCCTCATCTCCTCAAGCTAAGGGTGAAATTGAGGACTTAGAAAAATGGGATTTATGGCTTCTTGCTTTCATCTTGCCTTGTCCTAGATCTGAAGTGTAAGTAGGAGGAAGCTTTGATGAAGGAAGTCCCCATTCAAGGAAGTCTGGCTTTCAGGTGTCACAAAGGCAAAGTTAGAGACAACAGTGGATGTACTCTTAAGTGGAACTGCTCAGTGACCAACAAGGAAGAATTAACCGAGACAGAGTGTTTAGGTTCTGCAATAGGCCAGGGAAGGAAAGTTAGGGAAGTAAGTGCTGGAGAGCTAAAGGTTGTGAATGTGGTTTTATCATACCTTTTATTTCCAGACTGCTATCCCAAGATTTCTGCCCTCAAACTCATTCACTGTACTCATCTGTGAAGGTTTTAGCTCAGAGCCTGTTACCTGCCTGTCATCCCCAACCCCCCAGGCATCCCTGTCCTATCCCCACTCGACATTCTCCACCCCTGACAACTCCCAAAGGCTCATGGAAACCCTTACTTTCCACCCCTCCCCCTGGATCTAAGAGTCAGATATCTCCCTGTGGGAGAAAGTTCTTTCCTCTGACCTACTAGAACCAATCAGTACAGTCAGTTCCAGGCCATCATGACATCTTGAGCCCAAAGGTGATCTCTATTAGACTGCTTATCTCTTAATGCAAATGGATGGATGGCTACCGGTAGGTTGCGGATTCTCTCCAGCCACTAGCTAGCCTGAAGTGATGGCATAAAGATGGAGGTTTTGCCCTTCTCTCCAGCCCTAGAAACAGACTGAGAAAAAGAAGAAACAAGGAAAAGAGTGATGGTTTGGGCTCAGGTGTGTCACAGCCAATGACACTTCTGCCTTCCTGCTGTATCTCTGCTAATCAATTCCTTGCCTTCATGCCACTGTGAATTGAACTAAGGGGGTTATAATTAGAGGGCTCACCTGAGGACATTTTGCCTGCTGGTGCTGTTAAAATAATAAGTGAAAATAGAAGAAGAGTCCCTAAAAGACAACCTGAGGTGTGTGGGCTGAAGATCTAGAACTTGACCCAGTAATCAGAGACAGAGATTTGATCCCTGTATGGGCCACACACATACACACACACCAAAAAAAAAAAAAAAAAAAAAAGAAAGAAAGAAAGAAAGAAAGGAAAGAAAGAGAAAGAAAGAAATTAGAGGCAGAGAGGTGCATGTGATGCCCAGAGGAGACACATGCAGGTTGCAAACCCTTAGCTTTCCACCAAAATCACTCTCCACTTGCCAAAGTCCTTCAATCTAAATAATACAATTGCTTTTGCTTTTGCTTGCATATTACTTATTTTTCAAGTTATTTTTGTATATCTTGTCCTCTGAACCTCACAATTCTCCTATGAGATAAATGGTATTATCTCCCATTTCCAGATGAGGAAACCAAAACAGAAAAATCAAGGGACTCTTCCTAGGGCACAGAGCCCCTGAATAGCAAAACCACGTCTAGTTGGAACTAAGGTCTCCTGGGTCAGCTCAATCCTAGTTTGATTGGTGATCTATTTCCTCCACTCATCCATTCAGTGGATATTTAATGAGTGCCTTCTCTACAGCACAGAGAAAAACAGACCTGGTACCAGCCCTCACGGAGTATAATGGGAAGACACTAAACAACAAAACCCCACTCTCAGTATTTAAGCACAGACAGAGCCATATATATTTCCCTACGTATTCACGTGTACCTGAAAACCTAGGTCAACAAAATGTCCCTACAATTCCAGACACACTGACACACACAGTCATTCTCCCCCTCCCCTTAGCCTACCAAAGCTTCAGCAAACCCAACTCCTTTGGGTACAATACGAGGGACCCCTCACCTGATGTCCAAATTGGTTGCAAGGGAAGCCAAGAACCACCAGGCGCCTGGGAAAGCGGCATTGCAGCTCGTTGAGCTGGGTGAAGTCCCGGGTGGTTGTGCCTCAGAGCGAGGCCACATTCTCAATCAGCACGGCCCTGCCTCGGAACGTATTGAAATCTACCTTCTCCCCATCCAGGCTGATAGCACTGAGGTCGTAGAAGGACTTGGCTATGTAAGCCATGGTGAAGGCGCAGAGTGAGACCTGCAGAGTGGTGTGAGCCCGCCTTAAGGGTCTGTTAAAGGGATGGGGAGGAGGGAGGAGCCTGGAAGGATGGGAAGGATTTCACAATGGGGCTTTCAGCATCCCCAGGATGACTTAGCAAAAACAGTCACCCACCTGTAAGTGCTGTTCCAACAAGAAGGTTGTTGCTCCTCCTATTTACAGACTCTGAAAAAAGCCACCGACCTGCTCCACCCTGCTGGCAACCTGGGAAGGGCCAATTTGATATCTATGTACAAACATGAATAATTCACTCCTTGCAGGAAACTAGAGCCCCAAAGGTCAAACGGGGAGGAAAAAAGGGAGGGAGGGATGCAGGATTGACACCGACTTGCCCCAGCAAGTTATTTTCGCTTCACACAGACGTTCATTGTCTGCTGAGGGCCAAGCTCTGAACTGTGCAATTTCGAGGTCAAAGTCTGCCAAGATCTGAAAGATGAGGAAGAGAATTGGGGTGCATGTCTCCTTAATTCAGATCACAACTGAAATATACGTATTATCGTGCACGTGTTTTTCTTTGGCTGTTGTTTTGCACAAGCACAGAATCAAAGGGATCCTCAGGAGGACAATGTGCTTTTCTAGAAATAATGGCTCAGTGGCTCAGCTTGAGCCCGGATGAAGAGGTGAAGTTCGTCTTGGAAAGTCCTTCTGTGAGTGATGTTACCTATGCCGGAGAGCACCTCTGCCCTTGTCTGCTGCATGGCACCGCCTCCTATTCTGTGTCCTAGGTGCCATCAGTTGTGGCCGGGGTAATGGTGAGGAGTCACAGAGCAGGTGAGGACCTCCGAGGGGATGAGCTGCACCTGGATCTTCTCAGACAAATGCTCAGTCCCAAGGACCTCTCCCAGCAGGCTTGTGCTACTCCTTTCCCCCACAGAAGGAAGTGTGCAGGGAGTCAAAGCTGCTATGGTTCTAAACCCAGCCGAGCTGCCCAGCTGCCCGTTTCCAGCACCAGCCATGCCACGAATGGCCTGCAGGACATCTGAGGACCTAATGGAAGACCTAGGGCTTCGCTTCATCATTCGCACCCACCAGCTTGATAAATCCATTTTTAAAAACAATGTCTGGATTTCTCTATCGGTAAGACTGGCAATTAGGCTTTACCTGGCCTTGGGATTTTAGAGCATTATTTCAATAACAACGCAAATGTTTACTAGAGAGTGTTTTCACAGGTACATATCCATTGGGAACTGACTTCTAGAAGAAAGAATAAGCAAGGCTTGGGAGCAGCTGGTATTGAGAATCTGATTTGCTGAGAAGATGGAGGAATTACTCACCAGGGAGTGCCCAGCTTTTCTGTCTTTTGTAGCCTGTCCCATGTTCCCACTGGCTGCTCCCTAAAAACAAGCCTCCATTACTTGAGTGGGAATAGAATCTTTAAAAGATTCTTAAAAGAGGTGGCAGGAAATACAGAGTGAAGTGTGTCCCCCAGTGAGACTGGGTAGAGTTCCTAGAAACAGCCAATAAGCGTCCCTACCAGGCCACTGCATCAGAAGGACTTGGCCCTGACAGTGGGCTGAACTTAACATGAACTTACCAGACTGACCTGCATGCCTAGTGCTTCCCCAGTACCCCCAGGCATTGGGATACCTCTTATTGGCTGCCCTTCTGGGGCCTCTGTCCAGGAAGACATAGAAGTTCCTCAACTGAGGTGGGGGCACACTCTTCCTTAGGGACACACCATCCCTTTTCTCTAAGAACAACTTAAGACCCTCTGTCATGCAGGTTCTCACCTTTCGTGGCTGAGTAAAACTGATGGGCTCTCTTAAAATACTTTTGTCCTTTTGTCTCCAGCTTTCTCTCAAACTGGTCCATTTTCCAGAAGCTTATTACTTTGAAGATGCACTTACAGGTGTGTGATTCCCCCGGCTTTTCACAGGGACAGTTGTTCTGGAAGGTGCATTGGCTTAGTAGGTAAAACGTCTAGATAGGGGGTTCTCAACTCCGGCTACAAATGAGAATTGCTCATTGAGATTTTTCTAAATAGAGATGCTAAAGCTTTTCCCTCCAGAGATTTCAGGTCGGCTATCTCTAGGCACAACTCTGCCACTGTTACTTGAGGCCCTTGGGCACGGTTCCTTACCAGCTGAATTTGTATAATCACCCTCCTTATCTCCCACAGATAGGACTGTTAGGATGGGAAAGAGGAAGTATTGCAAGTTCTCCAACAAGGGCCAGTGAAGATCTTAGGCTACCATTGCCTTGTCTTGTTCGACTCCCTTCTTCATTCTATCCTGACTTTCATTTTCTGCCTCTTCGGTGAACTCCATGCCCCAAGTATAGTATTTGGCACCCTTAGGCCCCTGAGATTACAGTCTGCCTTGCTGCCCCATCCCAGGGCTAGGACAAACTTCTGAAAGATTGAATCCCTCCTCATGCCTTCAGGGAGACTTGTTCCATCCCAGACAGAGGAGAGCCTTGTTGGCTCTAAAGACTTCTTCAGACATAGCTATTCGGCAACCTCCCAGTGACTCCATCCTATTTCTGCACTTGTAAGCCCCTTGCAGAGCCATGGGAGCTTTGCTGGGACTCCCCTACAGGTGTCACTGGGAAGGGTACAATGAGGAAGATGATCAGTTTGCTGCTTTCATTGTCATTCTACTGCTGTTGCTCCAGGTTCTGGAGCCTTTCTCCCAGCACCGCCCCTCCCCTCTCCCCCTCAACTGCCGTGGACCAAGTGAGAACTGCTCCCGGGGACTCATACAGGCAGCCACACCTGTGGTTTGAAATATTCTTTATTTTGTAAACATCTGTGTTTAAAATAGATGAACCCTGCTCACAATTCATACATTGAACCCGAGACACAGTACACGAAGTTCACCCGTCACAGGGAGATGGTGGGGGCTTGGCAGCAGGTGGGATGCCTGGGGTCGGGCTGAGTCTCAAGACAGCAGGTGCAGAGGTGGTGAGTAGCAAACAGGCAGGAGCGCCTGCTCAACAGTCTGGGCCTAATGCCAGATCCCAGGCCACCTCCTGGACTGGAGAAGTTTAGGGGTGCGAGGCCGACTGCGATACCTGGTGAGCGTAGCTGCCCCTAAAGCTCCAACCCTCCTGCTCCCGTGCCTCTCCCCAGCTGTGGCCCTGATGGATTGGGGCTGCTCAGTTCATAAAATCTCCACCCCGTGTTTTCCCTTCCAAAATACAGCAACATTGACCCACAGGGTGGAGCCAAGGGCCAGCACGTCTACTTTTTGAAGCCCCTGGCTGCAGGCACCCCAAGGGCTGGCGTCACCGTCTCCCCACCCTCAGTGTGATGCTGTGTCCTGACACCTGAGGAGTCAGTCCTCAAGGAAGCATCCCAGCCATCGTCATGACTTCATCCTAAAGAGTCTGCTAAGTTTCTCATTAATAACAATTTATAACCATTCTTGCCCTCCTTTTCCTTCCACTATGTTAGCCTATCCCTGTTACTACATCCTGAGCTACCTTCTCCTACTCTGGCAAGAGTCAGGAGGAAAGGTTTGGTGATTTCTTCCCCACCTTTTTTTTTTTTTTTGGGAGGAATAAGGAAGTGGGGCTCTTCATCCTTCACATGTGTGTGCCCTGGACTTTGGGTCTTCGTTGGTGAGTGTTCAGGGCCTGGTTCTTTGCTTTTGCTCCAGCCCTAGCCATGTGATCAGCTAATTTGCAGCTTAAGAATGAGCCTCCAACCCTGGGAAGGTGGGGAGGAACCCTGCCAGGGCCCAGAACTGACTTGTTCCTTCTTTAAAACGCCTCCTTCAAGCCACCATTGGGCCATGTGGGGTTAAAGAAACAAACTTCTTCCGGAACAAAGAGCTCTGGAGGAAGGAGTCCACTTTCCTCCTCTTGTAGCCACAGTGCAGGTGGCTCCTGGTCAAGGAGCTAGAGGGGCAAAGGAGCACTTTGTCTGGAAGGCTGAAGAGAACAGCACCAAGCATTTCTATCCAGGGCCTTCTCTCTCTCTCCCCGTGAAGTCCCTGCCCTTCCTCCCCAGACTCGGAGGCTCAAGAAAAGCTCAGGAGCTGAAGGCTGGGTTCAGTGGCCATGTCACCTTTCACCTGCCAGGAGGCTGTGGGGAAGTGCCCTCCTTACAGAGAAAGGGAAGTCGCTGCCATATGCCCCTCTGGTTTGCACAATACTGTCTCTGGCCTCCTCTCCTTTGCTTCATCCTGATATACAGGGGCTAGCCCTTCATTACCAAACACTCCCCTTTCTGGGGTGCGTGGTTGGCTTGTCAATATCACTGGCCCCCCGGGCTTTGCTCGCCCCTGTGGCGCCCTGAGGCTTTGGTACACACCTTTATTTAAATCCGGGAGCCCGGGTGGGAAGAAACTGTGTACACACTGCATGGGAGGTAGAGAACGGAGGTGACTTTTGATCCCTGCCTCTCCTCAACATTTTCTTTTCTTCTCTGAAGCACCTGCTTCTGAGCTCACTTCCCTCAAAGTGCAGGTGGGCAGGCAGCCAAGCAAGGCCAAAGCTGGGAGTGGGTGGGGGGCAGGCAGGGAAGGGTGGGACAGTCCCAGTCTTGAGGACTGCCAGTTCAGTGCTTCCTTCCTACCTTGATGTTCCACTTTCCCAGATCACTGGCGAGGCAGGCCCACAGCACGAGAAGGGATGGTGGGGAGGGAAAGAGAGGAAGAAGCACCCCCGAGGCTTTGGCCCCTTCACAAAGCAGGGTGGGGGGGTTCTCCCAGAAGAAGAGTATGGAACAACCCCATGAGCCTGAGTCCATTCCCTTGGACAGGGTTAGGAAGAAAGGAAACAAAGAAGCAGTATCGGCAGCCACACGGTAGGACACAGAGGGAAAGAGGAGGGAGGGGCTTTGATTCAGGATGCGCTGGAGGGGAAGGGGACAAGAAAAAGAAGTGGAAGGAAGAGAGGAAAAGCAGAGAGGTGAGAAAGAAGGAGCCTTGAAGTGGCCTCACTCCAGACGTGGCCACTGTCTGGGGAGCTCAGGGCAGTGCGACGGTGCCCGTAACATCCTGGGGGCTCATGGCAGGCCCGTGGCGGGGAAATGGGCTGAGGGGAGCCCTTCAGGCTGGAGGATGGGGGGCAGAGGCTGCTCAGAGATGACAGCGGGGCTGCTCTCAGGGCCAGGCAGGGGAGTAGCAGCTACTGGCATTCCACAGGGTCACCCGAGTGAGAGGAGAAGCAGGGCAAAGCCCGACTCCCTGTCTGCCGCAGGCCTCCTGAGGGGACGGGGATCGGCAGGGGCACCACGCAGGACCTTCAGCACCAGCAGGTTTTCGAAGAGTTCGCTGGGCCCTCAGGTTTGCCCTCATCCTCCTCCAGCTCAGCCAGTGCCAACTCATTGCTGGCACGTGTCCGGAGACCATCCAGCTCCTTCCTGTGGGCCTGCAGCACCAGCTCTGTCAGCCGCGTGAAAGACTGGGAAACCAAGGGTCACAGGTTAGTGGGGCGCCGCCCCCTCTTCCCCTCCGCAGCCCTGGGACTGTCCCAGCACATCCCCCACCCCCCCACCTCTACTGGACAGGGCCACTGAGGCAGGGGAGCTCTCACCTCTTTAATGTTGAGGTTGGTGCAGGCACTTGTTTCGTAGAAGTCCATGCCGTACTCCTTAGCCAGCTGCAAGAAAAGAACATTCCTGAAAGGAAGTCAGTAAGGGAAGGGGGGCGCCCATAGCACTTCTGCCATTGCCCTCACCGCCCATGCTGTGCTGTGACATTTTCTCAGGGCAGGTCTCTTCTCAGACCAGGCGGGAGCCCCTTCCAAGATAACAAGGCTTGCCGAGATGGGAAAAGGTGCTCCGCAAACCCCCCTCCCCCGCCCGCACTCCCTGCCCACCTGCACATGGACGCGCCCCTGCCCCCAGCACACACACATCATACATCAGGAGACAAACACCTCACAATCTTGTGCAGGATGTCGAATTCATGAAAAATGGGCTTTGGGGTCAAACAGACTCAGTGTCGCTTTCTACTCAGCAGCTATACGACCTTGGACAAGTTACTGTCTCTAAGGCCAGCACTGCCATCTGTGAAAGGGGGGTGGGGGTGTCTATCAACCAAAGTCAGGTTATGATGGAAAGAGCACACGTCTCAAAGTCATTGCTTAGCATTGGCCATACACATAGTGCTTGGTAAATACTATTCTGGGAGGGTTTATTCTAAGTAGGATTTGCCTCTACTTTCAGATTTTTCTGTGACCCTATATTATTTTTGTATACCGAAAATCCATTTTATTTTAAGTGCTAGGGACTGAAAGAGGGGGAAAAAAAAGCTCTTGAGGCCCTTGGAGTGGGTGGATGACTCTTGTCTCCATAGTATCCATCCTTCTGTCCTCTGGGAGGGTGGTGTCCCTTGGCACCACCTTCCTACCCTCTCTGCCCCGTGGCTTTTCCGACCGTGGGCCCTTCATTTCTTTATTTTCCTTCCTACCCCTTTCTAGGATAAGGAGTGGGGTGGGACACCTGTAGATAGTAGCCGTGCCTGGATGTTGCTGGTGAAGCCAGCCACTCAAAGCCCTTCCTCACCACGGACACTGGGATGGCCCCTTTAGCAGTGGGTAGTCCTGCTCTAGGACACCTGAGCTGGGGCAATGGCTGCCCAAGAGGTCTTAATTTCAGGGTGGACCCCAAATCCCTGTCCCAAAGGACAGAAAACAAACTCCCAAGGATGGCCACATGCCCAGAGCCTTAGGGAACTGTGGGAGGAGCCAGGGTGCCCGAGGATGAGGATAGAATCCCAGGTCCCTGCTCTCAGGACTGGCCCTGGTGACAAAAGACCCCGGTCTGGATTGGGACAGCCTGCTCCACTTACCTGCTGCCCCTGCTCTCTTCCCACCTGGCGCTTCTGCTCTTCATCAGCCTTATTCCCTATAAGGATCTTCTGGACACCTTCTGGTGCATACTAGGGACAAAGGACAGGCTGAGCTGCCAGTGAGTGCTGCCTTTTCCCCTCACCTCCCACCATTGAGTCCACTGGCCTCTACCCCAGCACCAGACTTAAGAGCCCTAGGGATACAGCAGGCTGACTGGGTGCAGGTGTGAGGCCACAAGTACCAGGGCTGACCCGGGGGCCCCAGGGAGCTGTCATGGAGACAGCTTAGGGTAAGAGACTCTGGCTACTACTGGTAATTCCTGGGGTTAGAGAACCGGTATCCAAACTGGCAGGACATTACACTTAAGTCCACCCCTTTGCTCTACCAATGAGGACTCAGAGAGTTCAAATGGCTTGCCCATGGCTCCAGAGCCAGGCCCAGAACCCCAGTCTCATGATTCCTCCTGGTCCTGAGATTTCAGGAAGGAAGATGGTCACAGGGTAGGTAGGCTTTGACCTAACCCATTTCCAAGGAAGAAACAGCCATGGTTGCCTGGCGGGGTACAGAGTGTGGATGGCATGGCAGCAGGGGCTTCCTCCTTATGTCTTACTCACCCAGAGGCCTTAATCTGGGCCTGTGAAAGGTAAGGTTTCCTGGGAGTGTTTGCTCACCAACCCCGAGAGCTTCAGCCCTTCCCATCTGGCCCTCACTTCGCCTTCCCCCCTGAGGCACCCTTCCCCCACCCCCAAAGGTGAGGCACCATCTCCTACCTCATCCACATCACTGACCCACTTCATGATGTGCTGGTAAGAGCGCTCGCTGCTAATGTCGTAGACTAAAAATATTCCCTGAATGAGAGAGAGAAGGAGAGAGATAGGGGAGGCAGACGCATACAGAGTCAGGGCACAGTCATGGATGGGTCCAGAAGCAGATGTTGTACCATAAATGCTGGATCTCACTTTCCCTTCTCCCTGCTTAGCATAATAAGGATCCCTCAGCACCCAGAAATGTCTCCTTCTCTTTCATACCCCCAAAGCCATTGTGCCCTACACCTATCACAGAACTCTCTGAGGTAGGAAGGCACCAAATATCCTGCCTGGGGTCTTTGGCCCAGAGTGAAGGGTGGAGGGTGCGGACGAGGCTGGGGGACTTGCCCGTAGTGTGTGCTCAGAGAATAACTAATGAATGAGTGACCAGGGAACAACCACAAGACGGCCCACGGCTGCCCTCCCCAGCAGACAATCTGAGGGTCCTATTCTGGGAGTCAGTGGCATAAATATCTCACACATCCAGAGCTGAGAGTGTGGATGGCGGTGTCCCACCTCCAAACCCTGAAAATGGTGGCTTACCTGGGCCCGTCGATAGTACTGCTTTGTGATGGTCTGATATCTCTCCTGCCCCGCTGTGTCCCTGCAATAGAAGGCCAGGCCATCAGAAGAGCAGGGACCATAGAACCAGAGGGGAAGGGATGAACAGGAGCTGGGAGACCCTGTACCCTTGCAGGAAAAACTAGGGAGCTACAGGGTGAAAAATGAGGAGCTCTGATCCCCAAGGGGGTCTGAACATACCTGACTCTGCAGGAGAGAGGCCTGATTGATTATCTGCTGCTGACCCGGCTTATGGAGCCTTGCCAGCTCTGTGCCAGGAGCCCCAAGCAAAACTGGGCCTTGGACAACTCTCTTTAGAATTGGGCCATTGTTCAGACAGGTTGGGCTGTTTTACCTTTGGTTGGGTTGGGGCTTCTGAAGGCAACGCTTGCAGCATTCTCAAACTGGAGGCAGCTCCAACGGCTGGCAAAGGCTGCACTTGCAGGAACATCAGGCCAGAGAGCCACAGTGGCGCCCTGTGGCTGCTGATGGGAACTGCACCATGCTGTCCTGGGGAAACCACTTCGCAGGATCCCCCCCATTCTCAATATGGGGTGTAACCCTCCCTCCTATTCACTGCAGCATGGCCCAGGGGCAAAGCCTCATCCTAAGACAAACCCACACTGGTTAGCTTGCCAATTCCTTCTAATTCCTGCCTTTTGGTGACTTATAGTGGCCAATCCCATAAAATTTTTCTTTCTTTTTTTTTTTTTAAAGATTTATTTATTTATGATAGAGAGAGAGAGAGAGAGAGAGAGAGAGAGAGAGGCAGAGACACAGGAGGAGGGAAAAGCAGGCTCCATGCCGGGAGCCCGACGCGGGACTCGATCCAGGGACTCCAGGATCGCGCTCTGGGCCAAAGGCAGGAGCCAAACCGCTGAGCCACCCAGGGATCCCCCCATAAAATTTCTTAAGAAAAAGAGAGTAAGGTTCATAGGAGCAGGAGATGGGCTTTGAGACATCTGCTTCTCTAGGTAGAAGAGGTGGCCAGTTATCCCAGATGGGGCCTCGGGACTTTCACCACATGGCAGTGGCAGCCAGGGAGCAGCCCCATGTCTCTCCGCCTACATCTCCTCCTCCTCCTCCCCAACTCACCAGATCTGTATCCGCACTTTGATGCCATCTACCTCTATGGTCTTCATCTTAAAATCCACGCCTGGGGAAAGGAAGAGAGTGAGGCAGTTAGGAAGAGTAGTGCTGAGACCAAATGGTAAAGACCCTTCGCACTGAAAGGGATTGCCTATGGCCTAATATTGGCAGAAAGATGGCATGAGGTAAGGGCCTCCTTGAGCCAAAGATTGAGCCTAAGGAAGGGTCTGGGACTTTGGGCTTTGAATGGGGCTTCTCTTCCTCCTTGACCTGAGAGTTGCCAGCAGTAAAGGGTTGGGTGGGGGAGGGGTAGGAGGAGGGCAGAGTGAGAGTACAAGGGAATCCATGCCATCACTGCCTCACTCAACCCCCAAATGTGTCTCCCTCTACTCTTATGAGATCTTCCTATTTACATTTCTGGAAAGAACTGCGGGTATTTATTTGTCCACCCTGGAACTCTAACCCCTAGGAATAGCAACCTACCTAGTTTGCCTGGTTTTCTTTTCTTTCTTTCTTTCTCCGCCTTATTATTAACCAGGAGGGGATGTGATGCTGTCAGGGATGTGGGGAAGGACCTGTGTGCCTGTGTACACAGCACTGAGCAGCTAGCAGAAGCCCACCAAGAAGGCCTGGTGGATCTACTGTTGACTGGCCCCGATTTACTCGAGGAAGCATTATTGTTTACTCCTTTATTTAGAAGTATGGGCTTTGAAGCCAGGCCTGAGCTTGAATCCTGACTCTGGCCACTTCACTTATAGCTATGACTTTGGGCATCTTGCTTCTCTGCATCTCCATTTCCTCATCAGTAAAATGGAGACCTCACCAATCATTTCAGAAGGTGGACAAGAAGACCAGACGAGATACAGTGCCCAGCACCTGGGAGACACTCAGTGGATGCAGTTAATACTATAACCGAGTACAGTCCTGGTGCATCATGGGTGCTTGTAAATGACCACCAGTGACCAGAGGAAGGGGCAGGGCACAGCATGCTGCTGGGAGAGAGAGGGGGAGATAGACAGGGTTCTCAGGCTCATCTGCCCAAGGGCTTGAGGAGCTAAGCTGCCACGAGACCTGAGACCCAAAATCATAAGGCATTTCCAGCCCAAGGCAGAACCATATTTGGGGAAACTTGCAGGAAGAGTCAGCAGCACCAGCAGCACACAGGCTTGAATCTGAGTGACGACAGAGATGAAGGGAGACATTTTTATCACCATGCCTCTTCCCAGTCCCAACTGTGCCCGGGCACTGTGCCCAGTGATTCAAGAGCTGCATCTAGTAGATTAATTAAGCTGAAGTCTTCATGTAGTCCCTGGAGACAGGTCAGGAATGGGCATCATTAACCAGTTTTTGTGTGGAGAACATAGTCAAGGCAGAGTTCCAGATGGATGGTAGTCACCAGGCTGCACAGCATAGCCCCAAAGACCCCAGAGGTACCAGAGTCCCCAACACCACTGCTATTCCCTCTCAGCTTTAGTTCTTTACCAATGGGAACGCTTCTCCCCTTCTCTGGCCTGTCCCTCAGCTTCCACAAACACAGACAGATTAAGTTCAGGCTCTTGCCTCTTCCCATCACGACCAATCATCATTTAACTAGAGGGGAGGAAAAGATTGAGAACGGACAACCCAAACTAAATCAAGTTGGTCAGACGTGAATCATTTTTCGCCTGCCCAAACTGATTCATATCTACTGAGCTGTACTCTTGCAAATGGGCAATGTCTGGCAGCCATTCTTCCAAGTGTGCTGAGAAAGCGAGGGTGGAGGGCCCCTGGCCTTGTTGGGGCAGTAGCATGCTCACCCCCTTCTCAAATAGTTATCAAGAATTTGCTTCTCACCATTCCTGGCACAGAAGGGAATCAGGAAATTCTTGTTCTTTAATGGTACAGTGCTGGCTTCCCAGGAGAACCAGCAATTCTGTCCATTTTATAATCAACCTAGGTCATCCTCATATTAGTCCAGCAAGCCTGGTCAAGGACAGTGCCTTGTGGAAAGTGGTCACAAGGTGGCAGAGAGGGAGGTAAAAAGTTCTCTGTTTATTCCACAAACTTTTTTTTTTTTTATTTTTTATTTATGATAGTCACAGAGAGAGAGAGAGAGAGAGGCAGAGACACAGGCAGAGGGAGAAGCAGGCTCCATGCACCGGGAGCCCGACGTGGGATTCGATCCCAGGTCTCCAGGATCGCGCCCTGGGCCAAAGGCAGGCGCCAAACCGCTGCGCCACCCAGGGATCCCTATTCCACAAACTTCTATGGGGACTTAAAAAGGACATACGATCCCTGACATTACAGAACTTAATGGAAAGGAGACAAAGGCCCAGAGAGGTAAGATAACTAGCCCAAGGTCAGCACAGCAGGTGGCAGAGGTTGGAACACAGGCCTGTTTGATGTCAGAGCCCATGCTAGCCCCAGCACTGCTTTTCAGGGGGGTGAGGGTTATAAATTAACTAGATACAAAGGACCTAACTATGTGGGTTTCTTTCTTTTTTAAAAGATTTTATTTATTTGTTCATGACAGACACAGAGAGAGAGGCAGAAACATAGGCAGAAGGAGAAGCAGGCTCTATGCAGGAAGCCTGATGCAGGACTTGATCCCAGGTCTCTGGGATCATGCCCTGAACCAAAGGCAGATGCTCAACCGCTGAGCCACCCAGGCGTCCCTATGTGGGTTTCTCTGTAGGTCCTTCAGCAAAGCTCAGCCGGGGAGGAGCTCCCAACACTAGGGGACTCAGCCCGAGAATGAGAATGTAAACAGGTATTAGAAGAGGCAGCTACCCTGGGAGTGAGTGCTGGGCTTGGATTCCTTCTGCTTCCCTCACTTCTTAGCTCTGTGGCCAGGGACTGACACTGAGGGATTCTGGGGGCCCACAGCACCCCTACATCCATTCCTTTTACAACTTAGATCCACCTGACCACCCAGTAAAATCTGTGGAGCTCGGAGAAGTAAACTGTTTCCATTTTGGCTATTCATAAGCACTAAGCAAGAAACACAGTAAGTCTAGGCCTTTTGAGAGATCTTCCTCTCCCACCCACTCTTTTTGAAAAAAAAAAAAAAAAGATTTATTTGAAAGTGAGAGAGCACACACAAGAGGGGGGAGGGGCAGAGGAAGAGGGAGAAGCAGGAATCCTGATGAGGGTCTTGATCCCAGGACCCTGAGATAATGGCCTGAGCTGCAAGTAGATGCTTAACTAAGCCACCCAAGCACCCCCCTTTTTTTAATTAAAAAAAGATGTACAGCCCAGTGATCTTCTAGTGAACTCATTCTTTCTACTCCCTCCGGTCCATAGCCTGGACCTCCCACTGTGCCCACCTACCACTCCACCCCTGGCCTGCCATGACTGTGCTCATCTGTGGCCCCTCCATCCCCCTTGTGTGACTGTTAGTTTTCTCTGCTGCTGAGCCCTGCAGAGCAGTCAAAACCCTGGCCTGGCTGGTCACCCATAGAATCTTGCTTTCCCACCTCAGTGGGCCCTTGTAGCTGCTGAACACACCGTTTACACGGAGGTGTGCCCACCTATCCCCTTCCCTACAGCCAATGACCCCACTCAGCCGGGCTCCCCCTTAATGCCACATACATCACGGTATTCCTTTTCCTCTCCAGGGTGAGATGATTGCTGCCTGATGAAGCCGCTCCTAAGGCCCACCTCATTTCCTCAGAATGCGCCTCTGTTCCCTTCACCTTCCTTAGGGAAGAGTCTTCCATCCTTCCCAAGCCTCAGCTCTCAGCTCTTCATCAGCCCCCTCTGGGTGCTCATCCTAATGGTCTGGCCCTTCCTTCGTTGCTGATCTCCAAACTCTGTGGGGGGGAGAGATCCTCCCACCTACCTCCATCCCGTGTGTTCCCCCTCTAGCTCCTCTAGGGCAGCACTCCTTAAACACTAAAGCCCACACAGACCACTTGGGGATTGTGTGAAGATGCAGAGTCTGATCTGATAGCTGTGAGATGAGGCCCGAGATGCTGAGATACACTTCCAGGCGAGGCCACACTTCCAGACAGCAAGCTTTTTTTTTTTTTTTTTTTAAGATTTTATTTATTTTTTTTCATGAGAGACACCAAGAGAAAGAGGCAGAGGGAGAAGCAGGCTCATGTAGGGAGACCAATGTGGGACTCGATCCTGGGACTCCGGGATCATGCCCTGGGTCAAAGGCAGACGCTCAACCACTGAGCCACCCAGGCATCCCAAGACAGCCAGTGGTTCTCAAGATATGGTCCCTTGGTCTGCAGCCTCAGCATCAGCAGGGACTTGTTAGAAATGCAAATTCTTGAGTCCCACCTCAGACCCCTATGGAATCAGAAACTCTGGGGGCAGGGGCCAGGAATCTAGTTTAATAAGCTTTCCAGATGATTCTAACATGTACTGCAGTTTGAAGTTTGGACTGAGGCTTTGCACCTGAAGCATCAGGTGAGGCAGTGTCAGGTGAGGCGGCATAGTTGTGCGCCCATTCTCCAGGTGTGCTTTGCAGGTGTTCAGCTTTCGATCACCTGGAGTGATTTATTTTTTTTAAAAAAAAGGTGCTATCTTGACTGGTCTAGACCCACTGACTCAGAATCTGAGGGCAAGAGACTTCTGATTTTAGCAGGGTGATGGGTGATTTTTAGAGGAAAGTTTGAGCCCTAATACTGTGAAACAGCTATCCATCAGCATTGGGATCAGAAAGACCTGGGTCTGAATCTGGATTCCAGCACTTGCTGTGCAACTTTGAACTTCTCTGAGCCTCAGTTTTCTTACCTGCAGAATGAGGCTCCCACTGGCCTCCTACAGGCTGTTGTGGGATATGAATTAGGCCACAGGTGTGAAGGTAGAAGGGCCTTCTCTCATTCCTACCTTCCTTCTGCTGAATAACAGCTTCCCAGAGAGCAGCCAGGCAAACAAGTCCAGAGAACCTTTGACATGGTAATGGTTACCTGGTCTAGTGCCTGGCTAGTTCAGGGACCAGCAGCATCAACATCACTGGGGAGGCAGGTCCACCAGACCTGCTAAATTTGGGGCATACAAGTTTGAGAACCAACTGTCTAGCCCATCTCTAGGCAGCACCACACCCAATATATTATCCTCATAGTTATAACTGGC